ATAGATAGATAGATAGATAGATAGATAGATAGATAGATAGATAGATAGATAGATAACAACTCATACTCTCCACAATACCCCTGTCCCATTCAGATCGTCAACAGGCGTCGAGCAGCGAAAGAGTTCTTGGATAAGTTCCTTCCCCGAGAGCTGTCCATCCTCTTGTCGTTAGACCACCGGAACATCATCAAGGTCCATGAGGTGAGGTGTTCAACTAGCGAAAAAAACCCTGTTTGTTTTACAATTTGAGAGCAAAAGGAACACATAATTCCTTGACAAAACCTTTTTAACAAATAAAATACAGAAAAATACAATGCATTGGTCACAAATAAAATACAGAAAAATACAATACTTTGGTCACTTAAAACGACACCAGACCATTGTGGAGGAGGTGCTTGAAGGGATGATGTGGACCAGGAGAGCGAGGGGTTGACGAAGAATAACACGAGTAGACAACATTAAGATATTGGACTGGCCGGACTGAGTACAGCAGAATGTGGAACAGCAGCTCGCGAACGTGAACGATGGAAGGTTCTACCTCTGAGTCGTCAGAGACGAAGAAACCTCAAGATATTCCAAGTTATTATGTCTGATTAGCAGTCGACCAAAGGCAATGTTGCAGGGCATTTCAACTTTTCACGCACGCATTCGAAATATGAATAATTTGACTATTTCTTAACACGGTATAAATGTACGATGATTCACGGGACAAGCGTCTGTGGTGTAGCGGTTAGCTGCTTCACTGTCTCACCAGGGAGGCCCGAGTTTGATTTCCGAGAGGGGAGAAATTTTATCGAGTGCCTCGGTCTGTCTGGTTGGATACTCTGTCTGTCTCAGCCCGAGTTGTCCCAGACAGGCAAGGTGGGAGCCCGCCTCCTAGATTATCTTAATTATGTCGATACAGGCGTTAAAACATTTTCACCTATATTAAAGAAATGTATTATACACCTATCGACTTCAAAAAAGGAGGTGGGGGTCACCTGTTGTCAGACGTAAAATTATCGAAAAAATGGCCGCTAAAGCTTGGTGACTTCCAAAGTTGTAGCGTCCCAGGAAACTGTAAATTTACGTTTTGTATACGTTTAATCAAAGGGTTTATTTTGTAGTGTAATCCACGCTGAAATTTTAAATGGATATAAAAAAGTGTTCAGCACCCCCCCCCCCAAAACCCCAACAAAAACAAAACAAAAACTAACAAACAAAACAAAACAACAACAACAACAACAACAACAAATAATAAATCGATGAAATTTGCCCAACGGGTAGAAAAATTATGATTTTTTTTTTCGATTTCATTATTTTGACTAGAGTGTCATTTCACCACGATGCCACACATATTGATAATTCAACTGCCTATCCATGCTGCAGATTATACAGCTAGAGGAAGTCGTGTGTGTGGTGATGGAGTACGCAGGGGCCGGTGACCTGCTCGACTTTGTCAAACGGCGCGGAGCTCTCGCAGAAACACAGGCTGGACCCATATTCGCACAGGTGGAGAGGTCGATTGTTCTAGTAAAAGCTTTCATCATCATCATCATCATCATCATCATCATCATCATCATCATCATCATCATCATCATCATCATCATCATCATCATCCGGTGCCTTGCCGACTGGCGCGGGCGATCATGGACCTCCACTTCACTCTATCTTGCGTTGCAGCAGTGGTGTCTGTCGTTCTTGCTGTTCCCAGCCATGTTGTTAACTTGTCCAGTATCTTTTCCCTCTCTCTCTGCCTCTTTTTTTCGATCAAACTTGCCTCTTGTTACAATATTCTCCAATGCTTCTTTCTGCTTTGTGCGTCAAATGAAATTTGACTGTCGCTTTCGTATATAATTGTCAGTTATATTGCAACACAATACGGTCATATAAAAGTGCCAAAGGGGAGGTGGACTGAAGGAAAAAAATTACAGTGGAGTTTGCTGAAACAAAAATCTGCCTGACAGCCAGATCATTGTTTTGTACTTGTTAGTGGAGGGTTTTTTTTGTTTGCTGTTGTTTGGTTTGGTTTTTGATTTGAAAGGCTGCTAAAAAATATATTTTAAAAAATAGGGGATTTAATTTTCTTTCGGTTAACCGCTGTTTTCGGATTAACCGTGTGCAGTTTGAGCGGACTCCACAGAATGGATATGGGATTGGGTACCTCACCCCGTTCCAACAAACCAGCCCCAACAACTGGCATTATTTCGGCTTCTTCCTATAATACATTTGATTTGTTGGTATGATAAGAATCCTTGTGAGGACACTGGAGTAGCGAGTGATTTTTACCCTTATTGTTCACCAAAGTACGGATTTCCTAACTTATGAATAGTGAGAAGCTCCCCTGTCGATATATTATTCTTCTTTTTCTTTGTTTTATTTTTAGGTTAATCGACACCAACTCTTCATAGCTCCCCTCTGCGTTCAGCAGGCCCGAGACTGTCATCATACATCCCACTGCCCAGCACCTCCAAATTGTTGTTTGATAAAAGTCTTTGCCTTTTCGGAATCGATTGCGGTCAACTATGACGCCATTCTTCCCATCCCTTATGAAAAACCCCTCCATGGCTCTAGGCACTGGCATCAGGGGCGCTCAGTATGAAGTATAACATGAGAAATTTAACCAGCAACCTCCACGGTAATTTAAAATTACCCTCAGCGAGTTGGTGTTCATTATTATTGATTTGTATATTTAAAAAAAAACAAAAGGTCTCATATTTACAATGAGAAACCAAGCCCAGAATATCAGATTTTTTTAGGGCTTTTTCCCCCAGCCAGATCTTTCTTTTGACACGTCTTGGTGACAGCAGTAAAACGAGGGTAATCTTTAACCTCACGAAAGCCATTCCTACAATCTACAAAAATACTCACGATAATTTTACGAAGTTCCAGATGTACAAGCGTTCTCTCTGTGCGTAGGACCAAAGTTTAATGCTTTGATAAAAACACTCATCGATACTACGAGATACTATCTACTTTTACCTGAATTGAAAAAGGGGGGGGGGGAGGGGGAGTCTCGCTATTCCATGCCAGAAATGCTCGCTATTCCACAATGTTGAGCTTTATGCAAGCTCGCTATTCTGTCCCCGTCGTTTTATACAAGAAAAATTCTGAAATTATGCAAACTGAGCCCAAAAATGTGAAATTATGCGATTCTGTTAATTTTAACAAAGAATGACAAAGGAAAATAATCAGAAATTATGCCAAAAATGATCAAATTTTGCTAAATTATGCGGGGTGCATAAAACCACGGGGACAGGCTATTACAATGCTCAGCCGAATCCTTACTTCTCACCACATCAGGGTACATGAAAGCCATGTGAATGTACAGCTCTGGGCGCGGAATTTATTCTGACATAAACGTGTTAAAAACTCCAGTCGCAGTCCGTAGAATACGTACAGAAATACCATACAAGCTGCTCGCGAATTCTTCTCTCCCTAGCCTATCTCGAAGAACTAACCACAAAAGTTTCTCAGTTACTGTCTATTATTCAATGTTGGATCTCTGTTCTGACATAACAGTAAGCTGTGAGTATAACCAGTCACGGGCAAGTTTTAGGTCATAACGAATGATCTTAGCTGCCAATTGCCGTGCTCAGCTGGTACATAATAATATCTAATGTACAACAGTGTGTTTTTGGGAAGTTTTTGGGATGAAAGATGAGCTCAGTGGCGTCGGTGGCCTGTTGGTTTATAGACTCTCAGACTCGCAACCGTAAGGTCGTGGGTTCCAATCTCGTCAAGGGTCCGACGTTGTGTCCGCAGGAAAGGCTCTTTACACGAGTTTCCCTCACTTCTCCCAGGTGGAGACCGTAAAATACCTTGTCAGTTTGCTAGTGTTTGAGCACGTAATCAGCCGATTGCACTGCATGCTTCCTGGGAAGCTGAGAATGTTTCTGAGTGTTCTATGGTCTGCTGGTGTAATACTATTACAGTGTTAAGCTCATAGAGCTTGCTGTCGAGCAGGGATATGCGCTACACATATTAAATGCTATTTATTATTATTATTATTATTATTATTTTTATTATTATTATTATTTTTATTATTATTATTATCATTATTAAAGATAACGTATCGTCAGTCGAAGTTCATACCAGGCGAAGCTATGTCTGTCAGTAGTATAGCAACAATCACAGATCGAGTTTGATGATGTACTTTCTACTCCTGTGTTGATAAGAGCAACCAACTCAACAACACGCCACATGGTTCGGAAAAGGTGGTCAATGAAATACTTCTGACTCAAGTGTGAAGGATAGATTTGCGTAATCGACACCCACATGTGTGAAAGTTAGGTACCATTTTTCAGTGTCATCGTTTAAAAATGCAGCCATGGTATTCCTTATGTAAGTGTTTTCATGATAAATCACATAATATAATCCTGCTGTAGGGATGGATTTTCTCCGTAATAAAAAAAATAAATAAACTTGAAGCACTAATCTCTCCAATAGTTGTAATTAAAGGAGGGAAAAGAAAGAGCCCAGGGGGAAGAGTGGGGTTTCAAAGTACCAGCTAATATTATTCCAATATCCCAACTAGTTCGTGTCAAAACTTGTTAGTCTAATGCATGTCAACAATTATTAGACGGTAGTATGTATTTTACCCTAAGGGGGCAAATTTCCTTGTTTTTGCAGTAACTCTCCGTTTGAGAGTCATATCGCTTATACTCTTTAAGAAATGACGCACGATCAAGCTACCGGTAATCAGGATATTAAACAAGAAAACAAAAGAAAAAGAAATCCGTGATGGTGTGAACGGTAGAGTCGGTAGAGTCGGATAATGGCGCTCATATGACCTTATGCAGTTGCGAGCGCCGTAAAACCTTACTAAAACGAACAAGAATCGGTTAAGTTGGGGGAGGAGCCTAGTGGTCGTTACTATTTTATGATTGGCCAAGCACATGTCAGTCAACATAGAAGTGACGCATGTCTCCCCAGCTGTCAACATATTGCAATAATTGCAACATACAAAGGTCGGGACGTGCGCAAAGATCAGGGTTTATTTGTTCATATTTGTAATTTTGATAGACAACTGCTTCGCACAACAGAAGATCCCAAAATGACAAGGTTCTTTCTAATTTACTCTAACTTTTGATATAATTATTTCAGTTCAAAGTACGAGTATCCACTACTTTTGTCTGTTTCAAATGAATAACAGAGTTTACACGTTTAATCTTGGGGAATAAAGGAAAGGGAGTTCTTTCTAACCTTAACGTATAATCATTACAGAGGGAATACAAGGGGAGGCCCTGCACAAGGTACACACTAACATAAAAAAGGTGTTAAAATCTTGTTATTCCGACCGGTTGCAATTCCATTCTCTTATCCACTTATAGTTTTGAAAAAATCTTCCGCTCTCAAACTTTTCTAAAATCATTTCCTTGAGGCCACTGTCTTGTCTTCTTCCATTTCATGGCAGTGGTTCAGTTGCAAAATCGACTACCGACTATTTTGTGGGAAATGATGAATGTATACAGTACACGCCTGCTCTTTAATTTTCAGCAATCATTTATTTTTTCATGGTGACAAAATATCAGGATTTCGAAGCACAAAAGTGTGAGTTTTTGAAACAGTGAGGGATCAAATTAAAGTTTTTCAGATACATTTTCTTTGTGAAGAGACAATTTAATATAGGTTTCCAAGCGATGTGATTCCACGACTCTCTCTATTAAATAATAATTTCATTTCTTATATAAAAAACCCTTAGGCGATGTAATTGTCCACGTATCTCGTTCGTTAACTTCTGAGTCTGTTCGAGTCTTCTCTCTCAGTGGTTTTAACAAGTAGTTAACGATTTGGTCTATGTGCTGTAGGATGACAGAAACCGGTTCCTTCCGAAAAAATAATTTCATTTCCCATCAAAAAGAGAACCCCTTAGGCGATGTAATTGTCAGCGTACCTCGTACGTTAACTTCTGGATCGGTTCGAGTCTTCTTCTTGGATGGTTTTAACAAGTAGTTGACGATTTGGTCAATGTGCTCCCGGTTGATAGAAACCGGTTCCTTCAGGGCATGATTTATTCAAAGGTCTCGATAGGCACTGACTGCTTTGTCGATGCCACTTTTAAATCTCAAATACACCCGTGAGTGTTAATTAAAGAACCTGTTCTTGGCAAAAAATGGTCTTCAAGTTCACTGTGAGTTCCGCGTGATTTATTAAAAGATCGTTTCCGACCTATCTCAAACAAGAGCTTTGATAAACAGGTGTATTATTCGTTTGAAACATTTATAACAATTCAGGCTAGAATCTTAGACAGAGAAAGCTTTCTGTTTATGCCCCAACCAATTACTGAACGAAATAAAATGTGAGGCAGCGTGGTGGAATCAGGCTCTTGTCAATTTTTGGGCATATTGAGTCATTGGTATCATCTTACAGCTTGTTCATTTGTCTTGCTTCCAATGAAAGTGGAGATATTTTGGATAGAAGGAGGTGGGGGTTACCTGGTTCAAGAGGTAAAATTAGCAAGAAAATGGCCGCCAAAGCTTTGTAAATTCCAAAGCTGGAGAGCCCATGGAAACTGTAAGTTCATATTTTTGGGCCTTTAATCAACGTTTTCGGTGAAATCCTCAAAGGAATGTGTTTGTACATGGACGTAAAAGGTGATGAGCCCCAAAAAAAGCTACATTTTGCTAAGAAGGGGGAGAAAACTGCTGTTTTCTTCGATTTCATTATTTTGACGAGAGCCTGATTCCACCACGCTGCCTCACAAATGATTAATGAACTAGCTATCTGACAAGAAGCTTTAGTAACATCTGCTCTCAATAGGCAGACATGCCTCAAATGAAACAAAATGCTGCCGAGAAAAATGGCAAATGCAATAAAACAGGTCAAGTTACGGAGAATTAAACCTGCTGATCGGCAGGTGTGTAATGTTAACATACTAATATCACGTCTACTGACTTTTGGCAATCTTTGAGAGAGAGAGGAAGAGAGAGAGAGAGAGAGAGAGAGAGAGAGAGAGAGGGAGAGAGAGAGAGAGAGAGAGACAGAGAGAGAGAGAGAGACACACACACAGAGACAGAGACAGATATCAAGAAATGCTAACGGTAATTCTCCCAGGTGTGTGAAGGCATCCGCTACCTACACAGCCGGCACATCTGTCACCGAGACCTCAAGTGTGAGAACATTCTGCTCCGCCTGGACCTCACTGTGGCACTCTCAGACTTTGGCTTCTCCAGGACCCTGCCTAGCCCGGACACCCTCAGCCAGTCAGTTTCTCTGTCTGTCTGTCTGTCTGTCTGTCTGTCTGTCTGTCTGTCTGTCTGTCTGTCTCTCTGTCTGTCTGCCTGTCTGTCAGTCTGTCAGGTTGTCTGTTGGGTTGTCTCTCTGTTTGTCTTTATGTCTGTCTGTCTGTCTCTCTGTCTGTCTGCCTGTCTGCCTGTCTGTCTGTCTGTCAGTCTGTCAGGTTGTCTGTTGGGTTGTCTGTCTGTTTGTCTTTATGTCTGCCTGTGCTACAGGCGATACATCAAACTAGAGAAAGACGTATGGTACTTCTCCCCTCGACACTGTAAAGTTACAGATCCTGAAAAAAAGTAAGGGTAAGAAAGTAATGGACCTTTACAGCCAAACCTGCTCTAACCACCACTTGTATACGACAATTCCCTGTACAAACAGCCACTTCCCATTTCCTAGTTTGCATTTTTATTATATTGTAGTCACACTGTGCGGTGGTTGGCGCGTAATCTGGTGTGGTTCGCTCCTTCTTTCCTATCAAACATCTATCGTCCTTACCTTTCCTCCTTTTTGTGTTTGTTACTCCCTCCCTTGTAACACCTCTAATCTTTGGCTCTTATATGTCCTAACTGTGTTGCAAGTGCCGTAGACTGCTTACAAAAACTAAACTGAATAATATAGCGTAAGACGTTTTTTTTCAGCAAAAACTGTCAGATAGAACTTTATAATTCAAAGGTAGCGAATGAGTGGTTCGTCTTGGATGATTACTTCTGCTTTTTTTACCCTGCCCTATTCTATCATCTGGTGCTGGTGTATTTAGTAGTCACAACAAAATGTGCAGCATTTTGGATGTTGAAATTAGTCGTTGGTCTTAGAGTAAACACACAGGAGAATGTGTTATTGGTTAATAAAAACAAAATAAAAATAAATAAACAAACAAACAGGCAAACACACAAACAAGGAAATAAATAAATAAATAAATAAATACATAAATACGTAAATGGAAGAATGAATGAATGAATAAATAAATAAATAAATTTCGACTGTTCTTCACATTATTTTACTTATGCCTCTGCCAGAACGTACTGTGGGAGCGCGGCGTACGCGTCCCCTGAACTGCTGCGGGGCAAGCCTTACTTTCCTCTGCTCAACGATATCTGGAGTCTGGGCTGTGTGCTCTTCATCATGGTCACTGGACAGATGCCTTTCTACGATAAAAATACGAAGAAGGTGAGGTGAGATGTTTATAGTTTCTCTTTCTCTCTCTCTCTCTCTC